GTTTTCTGCCATTTAGTAGCAATAAGGAGAATTTTAGTTTCCATGTGTATTATACACATATTGATCAATTATGTTGAATATACAAATGTTAGAAATTTGCAGGTCGAAAGTAGACTTAAAATTTCTCGGAATCGTTCTTCCAACTTTTTCGAAAGTAGAAAAAGAGAGGAAAAATATTGCTGCAAATACTGTAACTGATATTTTTCGGAGATGAGTGCGGAAACGGAAAACACACATACCCTCATGTTTTATACCCCAGTACTTCAAGATACCTTCGCAGATGGTCACAAAGATTATACGGAGATTTACGAGCGCGTTTTAACATTCTCACCATCACGGGCGAGACCACGAGATTTTGTCACGGACGACATTCTAGTTATTGCGCAGCGCGCGCAAAGTGGTGTGCATTTCACATGGAGGCGCGAGACCAGATTCATTCGCGTAAAAAGCCGCGCATGATCGTTCACTTTCGCGATATCGCTCCCAACCGCGTTACGTAAGAGAAAATTCACAACTTAACGGAAAAGCAGAAAGGCAGAAGCCAATCAGATCTCACGCCAGTAGAAAAGCAGAAACTGTCGATTGGACACAAGCATGAGTTCTGATTGGTTTCTGTCCTTCTGCTTTCCGCTTTTTCTTCAAGATGTGAATTTTTCCTAAAAAAAGAGGGGCTCTGCAATCTCCAGAAGAATTCGAAATCTTTGTCTCTCTCACTCGGAAAATACATGTATCGCGTTGCAATTCTGTCGAGGAAGGAGCGAGTTCCCATTTTCGCGCGCGTCGGGTAATAATTCTACATTATGCCGTATTACAGCCGAAGTAAAATCTTGGATTCGTCAGCGCGAAGATAAAAATAAATGTTTACGATGCACGGGCCGATAAGGGAAACGGCGAGAGGAAACGTAACAAATGATTTCTCGCGCAGCCAGCTCGTGCATACCTATATGCGTACGTACGTAGGCATTATCGGTCGTAATTACGATGTAAATCACGCATACTACTTATCGCGCGATCGTCGAGGGATCACTGAAAGCTCGTCAGCGCGCAACGGTTCGTTCGCGGTATTAACAATATTATCGATTACCGTTCTACCGTTTTGTGTCGCGCACGACCGCACAGCAAAAAGAGAGAGAGAGAGAGAGAGAGAGAGAGAGAAGGAAGGGGCAGAGAAAGAGAGAGAGAAGAGCCTGCTTTAACCCTCCGCGCTTGAATATCGGCATTTAACTGACCGCGGACTTTAACTCTTTCGCACGAATGTGTTGTCAGCACATATACTTATAGCTGCATCGCGATTACCCGTGCGTTACTTGGAGTTACGGGCGGCATTACAAAACGGTAATCCACTTCGATACGCGCAAATAACCGCGTATATAATCGCGATACCGTTAACTTTTCTCTCTATTATTTGCATTACCACTGAACAATTGTTAGCCAATTGTCGCGAATGATTGCGATTTGTATCAACTTGAATCAAGTTCAGCACGGGGACTTATTCTGCTGATATGCATTAAAAAAATCAGATAAAAAGAACCAAGTTTCACGGTTAGGCAAATTCTGGTTGCATTAACTGCAACCGAGGGAGATTAAAGAAAATTTATATTAAATTAATGACCTAACATAGGAATTTAAATTGTACACAAAAAAATATTCTATTGCTGAGAAAAACAGTAATCGAATGTAAAAAGTTAATGAAACTTAAACGTACACTAAGGAAAAATACTTGAAAATTTATTTTGTAAGATATAAAATTTATTTCTGTGTAATAGAGTTTATTTCTGTGAAATTAAACTTTTGTCCCACACACATATATAAATTTTTAAGTATTTTTTCTCAGTGTAGTTGTATGTAAGATATAAGTGTCAACTAAAAAGAATTATTTAATTGCAAAGTATGAATAAATCAGTCGATAGATACAACCAACAATATGCCGTATCAGTTTCATAATCGTCTCATATCGAACTGTATTTTAAGCTTCTTTCGCACAATCAAAAGATCAAAAAACAGAAAAATTTGTCTGACTAATCGATTTTGCTCTGATCTTTTGCTTTAATCGACATTTTTTATAAGTTATCTCTAACAATTTCCGCCTCGTTCTCTTTTTTTTAAGAAAAGAAAATCAACATTCATTAATTACTACGTGTCGATTGCGCACTAATCGCACTAAGCATCGAGTCAGTTTTACATTCGCTTCGACCCACGCCGTCCCAGTTCGAGCCGGGAACGCGGATCGGTAGATCGCGACGGAGTGTAAGAAGGCAAAAAGAAGATAGGTCGGTAGCCACTTTGCGGGCGATAGAAAGCACACGGGCCATCGATCACGCTTTCTTTCTTACGACCGATTACGTGTAAAAAGACATCGAGGTTCAACGAACGACACCGTACATTCACATGAGGAGGCACGCGGATGCGACGACGCCGACGCACTTCTTTCCCCCCTCGAGAGAAATTGAGCATGTATCCGCGGCACTTCCTTCATTGTAATCGCCGCGGAAACGCAAGAGACGACGGCGCGTATTGGGAAGCTGGAGATTTATTTCCCCGCTTTGATGGCTAGATAAAACGGCTACCTCGCGTGAATCACGAGGAGCAGGTGTGAAAACGATGCTACACGGCGTATTAATCCGCGTATATCCTCGCGCACTTTTCATCCGCGTCACGCGAAATAATCCCACCGAGTTCGTTCAGAAAATCCCGTGAGAGCGCGTGTTCGATATTCCATTTTTTTTTATGAAAATATTTATGTGCGAACAAAAAAATGCGGTCATCCTCTCTTTTTCTCTACATTTTTCTACATCCTCGTTCGTGACATCCGTGTTACTTCGCAACAATACCGATATTGTCGTTTGCAAGCGACTTGCAGTGACGAATTTTTCAACACGGCAACCTCTGACAATGCGCGCACGAAAGCGGCGCGAATCAGCGAACCGCGAGATAAGAGTGAGACACGCGCGCGGAGAGTTTCCCTTTACGGCAAGCATTAAATACCGAAGGTAACACCTCTTACTCTCATACATTGTGTGTAGCGTTTATAAGAGAGTACGTATGCACGTGCCGGTACATTAATCGCCGAAGTCTATAACGCGTTTCGATTTCTCTGCCTTGGAATTTGCACCGGCTTCCTGATACAAATTTATTCGAGTTTCTTCGCGATGACGACGGCGACAAGCGTAAAATCGCGCGACAGTGTTCACCTGCTGACCCCGCGAAGAACGTACTTCCGATCGATTCTATTTATAAATTATATCGAAAACATACTTTCCTACACACACGGTTTGCGGCTGATACAAACAATGGAATAAGATTTGGTTTAAAGATTGTCAAAGATTGTCAAATCAAAGAGATTTTGAACAGAGAGATAAAATCATAAATGATAAAAAAAATATCATATCAAAGTATCATATTAAATATAATTTTTAAACATGTACCTTAATTAATTAATTTACTTATTTCTTGACGAAATTCGAGATGGAATTGAATTGTTTTTTAGATTGAGAAAAAATATCTTAAAAATTTATTTGTGGGATTTATTTGAATAAACTTATTGTGAATTTTATTGTGAATAAACTTCGTAAATAAATTTCATAAATAAATTTTCAAGTATTTTTTCTCAGTGTATCATTGTTTTATACACAGAGAGAATATTACAATTTCCTTTCATACACTAAGAGGAAAAATATCTAAAAAATAAAAAAATACTTATTCGATGGATATTAACAATATATTTATTTATACTAATATAAAGTGTTTTTCGAATAAAATACACATTTTTTTGAAACCTTAGTTTCTCATGAAAAGGATTACTTATTGTATTTAGATAAAAGAATTTAGATTTAAATAAATATGTTATTACTTTATTTATATCTACTAAATATTTTTATATTTTTAGGTATTTTCTCTCTAAGTGTACAAATTCTTTTCAATTTTACTATGTTTCTCTAATAATGTAGGAATAGTGTCAGTAAGATCCGTCTTGTGAAAGAACATAGTAAATTATACTAGAAACATACATTATAAATATATAAATTTTTTTAGTAATCTATTTTAATTTATATAAGAAACATAAATATGAAATGAAAAAATAGTCAATTACTTCAGAATGTTAATTTATCTTTCGATTAGAAAATTCCATAGTAATTTTTATTATAAAATTCTCTCTGTGTAATAAACATCTTGTACAATCAAATACAATTATAATGTAAAAATTATTTGGTTATCTGGAGAGCTTTCGAAACAGATTATCTTGCGAAAAATTAGTAATAATTCACATCTATTATTATATAATCACTATTATATATATAGATGCTCTCTTTGGCTCATTAGTCGAATGTTAAACCTTGTCTATATTATCAGGCTGATTTTAAAATTTTTATACATAAATTTATTTTAATATTGTTAATTATTAATGCTGACATCAATCCTCAAATGTTAATATATGGTTTAATCTTCACTTTATATATTTCGAATGGAATATTCCTCGCTGCAAGACGTAATGTTTTGATTCACGATAGTTTACTTGTCAATACTGCCATTCTTATCATGACTTTTTGCAATACTTATCGTCGCGACTAACTAACGCGATCATTTGATTTTGTAAGAACCAACAATCTATCTTTCAAATCAGTCAAATAAGTCAATAGCGAAATTAAAGTATGCGATGCAGAAATAAATTATATCTACATAATTTTTTTTTCATAACATTTACTTCAATCAATTAATTTATTAATTTCGGTAAATTTTGAATTCGAAAACAAATGAATTTCTTCTTATCTTGTAGTAAATATCTCGTAATAAAGTATATAATATCGTAATAACAAAATTGTTCAATTCTCTGTTCAATTTACTCATTGTTCAATTTTCTGATTTTTTAACGAGACTAGAATACGAACGAGTCGACGTTAACACGCGAATCTCGCGAGTTCTCTGATTATGGACAAGGTTCAACGTTCTGGAGCTCGTCGAGCACGAATTTGATAAAACAAGAGGTAGCAATATTCACTCACCGTAAGCTGCGTCTTGTCAGGTGCGATCGCCGTGATCTCGACTGGTCTCGGCTCCGGCGGGTTCGCTCTGCTGAGGATCGCAGCCGGCATTTTCGCGACGATGGACAGCCTCCTGGTGAGCCGTCTGCCCAATTCTGCACGTCGGCGCGCCCTGACGCGGGAGCCGGTGCCCTTGTAGCCCCCGAATTCCATTCTCGTTGTCGCCAGCGCCGTAGACGAATCTCCTTTTCATTAACAACTACGGTTAATGGCGACTTGAGTCGTTGTTCCTTCGTTGTCGTCGTCGTCAATGTCGTTCTGGCTGTCACGTAACCGTGATCGCACAAACCGAGCGAAAATCCATGCCGGGCAGCGAGATTTCGTGACGAGATCGCGAATTTACTGTCCCTCGCGACGTTATTCACCACTTTCTCGTTCACACGAGCCATCGTAACGTTCCACAATAACCGCCATTTATATCACTTGCCGGCCGCATCAGTCTGAAGTTTTGCATAATCGGCACATCGAGCTCACCGAAAATCACCGAGTCGATACGACGACTCGAGTGTCTCTTCACTTGCCGAGAATCACTGCACCGTTTCCGCGACGATTAGTCTCAGGATAACAGACGCGAATAACAGCCTCCGGGCGAAAAAAATTTCGCCAAATCGGCCGGGCAGTACGATCTAGCAACGGTACGACGTCAGCGCGCGACGTAAACACCGACTGGATGCTGGAGACACACTCACACGCGCGAACGTGCTTACCCTACAGCGCGCGCTGGTGGGGAGAGGACGAAGCGCGTGAAGGGCGCCACGAGGCTTGTGTGTGTACGCCGCGCTTGCCTACTACGTGTGTGTGTGTGTGTGTACTACACCTGCGACGCGAAAGCACTGCACGACTTTAGACTGAGTGCGCGCGCACGAAGGCGCCAATTCTCTTCTCCACTCACTCTGTCTCTCACTCTTTCTCTCTCTCTCTCTTTCTTTACCTGTCCGTTTCTCTCCGTTCTGCTTCTTACCGAGGACTCAAAAATCGAAGCGCGGAAAGGAGAGCAGCCGACTGATTCTCGCCGACGATCGGCCGCCCGCTCGTTCAGTCTGCCTGACGCGCTTCGACTGAAATTGAATCGCGGCAGCCTCCTACTACGTGGTCCGTCGCCGCGCACTCCGCGTGCCGACCACCACTAACCGTCGCCGACGTCGAAGCCGCGCCTCTCCTCGCCGCCCGCCCGTCACGCTGAGACGCCGCGCCGATGGTAAACAAAACCGTTCGTGATCGTCCTCGCGGAATATTAGAGCCGGCGATACAAAGACGACACAGCCGAGACACACTCACTAATGATGCAACGTCCATCTTGCCAATGACTGACACCGGATTGACGGGCCTTCGATAATCGAAGGATGCACTCGATATCGAATCAATACTTCAACTTCAACTTTAACATTTAGCTCCAGTGCTGGGATTCTATAACTCGTTATTGGAGTTAACGACAGTTTCGTTATCATTACGCAGCTTTTCTACGGTATACAAAAGTTGCGCAACGATAACGAAACTATCGTTAACTCCAATAACGAGTTACAGAATAGGCTTTTCTAAGGCCCAGTTGCATCAACGTTATTTTGGTTTTAAGTGACACTTAAATATATGTCTATCTTTATTTATATAAAAAGAAAGTGCAACTAGACCTAAGAGTTATGCCCCAACGCCATTATTTCGATTTATGATATATTTCGAGAGTAAAGTCTTGGAAAATTTCAAAGCACGTTCAAAAAAATCACAAGGTCCGAACTGTTCGAACACGTCTTGTCGTGACGGCGGTTAGGCCGGGACTTATCGAATCAATACATACAGGGGCGCTTATTGTGAGCGACTTCACATTTCTCGATCTCGCGTTTAATCGAGGTCGTGTTTCATTTTTACTGCCATTACTGAAAATCTATAGTTTTCGTCACGTATACTATAGATTTTCAGTACTGGCAATAAAAATAGAGCATGGCCCGAAACTCAATTTTTCTAGGTTAGAGATGTTTACGAATACCGAGCGAAGTAATTACAATGAGGGCGAATCGAATTAAGCTTGACTCTCCACGGAATACAATGTTTGCCGCCATAAGAGATCGCACATGGAGCGTTCGACTGATTGATCAGCCGTAATTAATGCGACCTAATTTGTACTTACAGATAATATTATAGTCGATAGAAACATCCCAACGACGGCGCAAGACGTTGTCATTGTAGTCCCGGATGCCTATGAATAAATAATAAAATAAATTCTCGTAAAATTTATAATTTATAACTAATAAACTTATAACTTATAACTAGTAAATAAAACTTATACTGAAAGAGAAAAAAATGATTGATTTAACTAAAATTATGTTTTTGGCTCTAACTATATTTTTTAGTTGTGCTAACACGAAAATGATAGTAATAACATGCATATAAGAGGTCTGTTCTTTCGCTCTGCACTGCTATACTGATGCAATAAGTTAGAATGAGACAAATATATATTTGTTTGATTCTAACTTATTGCACCAGTGCAATAGTGCAGAGCAAAAGAACAAACCTAAAAATAACATATAAATTATTATCACTAACATTAGTACAATTTAATTTAAAAAATGCTTTTCTTGACCATAATTTATACTAATTACCTATTTGATTACACAATTACAAATATCAAATATCTTTTTCTTAGTAGAAAGCGTATTTTTACAGAATGATCGCATTAAACGTTTCTATCGATTGCATGAAGTCGTATTTTACCTGGTATGTCGTTGCAGGTTTTGTCGAACGACTGATCTTTCACTAATAATCAAGTTGTTTCTTTGTTATGATAAAGTTGTTAACTCTACGACGAGTTAGGGACTTGATCTCAATTATCAGAAGTTACGAGGATATCTGATCAGCTCGTTCGTATACATCTCCCGTAGCAGAGATAGACCTAACAAAACACATTTAACTGATAATGATAACTCGTAACTCAAATTTCCGGAGTAGTGCGTCATTTGGGCCCATATTCAATTACTGATATAAGCTTAATTAATTTATGAAACGTTTCTTCCAAAAGATCGAGCAACGTACTTTTTACGAAATGCTAATCTAATGCGACCGGCGCATTACAATATTAGATTTAATCGAGAAAAATTTAGACGTCATGGATTCTGAATGTCTAATTCGAAGCAAAAATTGATTGAGTAACTTCTAATTACAAAATGCGTTATTATACGTACGTTATTTGATCTCACAATCAATCGAAAAGAAGATCTATTCTCTCGACGGTTCCGTCTGACATTGCTCGGAATAAAAAGAATCTTTCCGTTTGAAAGTTGGTCGAGGCGCATTCTGTCGGGCATTCCGGGTACTACAATGCGGCGTGGAAAACGGCGACATCTTTCACTGGTGCGGCCGACGTGACGAGTTTTGACAGTCCGCGTGACTCAAGTTTTGAGATAATTCCCGGAGTTCTGATACCGTTGTTTACGCGGAAGATCAGCCGTATGAGAGTTAATGGCGCGTGCAGGTGGGACGAAAAGAACGATAGCGGGTGTGACAATTGCGCGGGATTTGCAACTACCGTTCTAAGAAAACGCGCTGCCACGTTCGAACATGATAAATCAGAACGCGGACGAAGCGATTGCGAATGCCACGGCTGCGGAGCGACAAAAATCAAGACATGGAATAAGTGAAAGACTCTCGACGTTTATTTGGCGACGTGAGGCACTGCGAGAGATGCACTCGCGACAAGAATGCAAGAGGGAGGACGACGTCGACGCGACGCATGATATCGCCAGGGCACAGGTGGAACACAAGTTCAAAAGCACCACGGCCAACGGCAGGATGTCGTTCGATTTCTTCAGAAATATCAAAAAGTACTTGCAAACCAAGAATCTTTGCAGGTCCAAGCAAAAGGTACGTAAACCTAGGGCTTTGTTTTAGATGATTTAAACCTGGCAATTTGATTCTAAGTTTGGTTTTTTGTTATATGAACATCGTGTATAACATAGTTTCAGATAATCAAAAAGGCACATTTAATGTTTACTATAGATCTGTTCTTTTTAGCTGAACAAATACTGAATTTCATTGTTGATTCCTCCAAAGCTTCACTCCAAAAGCAAAAAGTTAGTTTAGCTGAAAAGTACAGAATTTATGTATCCAAAATAGTTTCTAGGTTTGTTCTTTTTAGTTGAACAATATGTATATAACCTAAAACAAAGGGAAAAGGAATAAAATTCTAGTGCAATACTAATCCAGTTAAGAAGAACAGACTTTATTTTGCATCATATTCTCTTTTCCTAACTTTAGTCTGATCTACCACCTTATTTTATACCCAAAACAATTGTCGCTATCGTGTTCACTTACAATTATTACCTATCTGTTGCTTCTTTTCAGAACAAAGAAGCAGAGGCAACGAGTCTTTTTTATGTTACAAATCAGAATGCTGTTGTATCCACAGTTGACCCTGTCGTAGAGCTTAATGATTCTTGTCAGGAACAAGACCACTCGAGCAGCCAACAGAAAGTCTCGTCAAACCGACAATCCTGTGGGTCTGACACAAGTCCTGATGTGGTTCCTGCAGAACAGCAGGACGAAGTTACATGTGATATCACTAGCGACATTAGTGATGTAATAATAGAGCGACCTGGTTGTTCCGATCCAATATATGAAGTTCCTAATGCAATAGCAGATGTACCTTGCGACGCGGTCGAAACGACTGAAAGTAAAGCAGAATTAAGCAACGAGAGTAAAGTCAAAGCGAGTCTCGCAGAGGAGCTACTCAACTTGAGCAAATATGGATGGTATTGGGGCCCCATATCAGCGGATCAAGCCGATGCCCAGCTCATATCCGAGCCTGATGGTGCCTTCTTAGTTCGAGACTCGTCTGATGACAGGTGAGTGGTGTACACGATAATCTAAATCAACAAACGCACTTTGATCGATATAGATTGTTTCCTAGCAAAAAGACACAAATAGACACAAATATCGGACAATGAAGCACACTGTTTATTAAAATATTACTTCTTTGGTTCTCAATGCAGATGATGGTTTGAGCATTACAGTTAAACATGATTTATGTTTTATCACACTTTTTGTAAGATAGAAGGATTTGTATATATAGTCAAAGATTTGATTATAATAATTTAAAAAATTGAGTTATGTGTATCGTTGTACAGTAAATATAACTTACTATATATATATATATATATATATATATATATATATATATATATATATATATATATATGTCATGTTGTAGAAACATTGTGTCAAACGTTGTATCACTTTGTATTGCTCGTGTGTCTCACATTGTGTCTCTCATTAGAAAGCAACCATAATTATGTCTCGCAATTATTCACAGGTATGTCTTAACGCTCAGCTTTAAGTCGTCCGGGAAGATGCTGCACGCGCGCATGGAACACAGCGGCGGCCTGTTCTCGCTATGTAACCAACGCGAGAACGAGGGTTTCTCCTCGGTGGCTGCCTTGATCAATCACTCGATGAACTTCAGCCAGTCGGCAGTGTTTTGTTACTCGAGACCGCGGTACCCTGGATATCCGTCGTTTCCAGTTAGATTAACGAAACCAGTGAGCAGGTTCACGCAAGTAAAAAGTTTGCAGTATCTATGCCGCTTCGTCATTCGTCAAAACATTAGTCTGGATAACATACACAAGTTATTTCTGCCGGAAACTGTAAAATTGTACATTTTAGAGTCGCATTATTGGACTTAATGGACGAAGTGGACAAAAAGTATGAGAGACGGATGACGAAATTATTTTGATCAAGTGCCGTTTTAGGGAAAATGAGACGAATATTGGCAGCTGAAATTGACCGCGCAATTGCAGCTGCCAGCGCGATATTATACTGGGTTACAGATATTTTCATTCGACTCACGACATATCTTTATATTGCGAGAAAGCGTGAGGAACTGATATATCGCGTTTGCCTATTTTCCCTGCGTATTGTTATATACATGTGTCATTTTTATTGAATCAAAAAAATATATATTTTATATTTAGCGTAAGTTCGAGATAATTCGCGCTAAATTACCTATAAAGTATTGCGCACAGAATCTGGCTTTTCGCCTATTCGACGATACTGTAACGAGGCCTAATTATGAATTTTTACATAAAGCTGACGTCGATTATACAAATTGTGACAATATCGCAGGGTAAACAAATACGTTGTTTAATTCATTGTTGAACGTTATTAACTGCGTAATCGATGATTTATATCTTTATATTTTGCATGAAGAGATAATGTAGGTTCGTCGGAATTTATTTTACTGTACAGGTTTTTGTTAAAATATATATTGTGCAAAGTGAAATTAGCGCTACATTTACTATATTTTTTTTATCAATTTTTCTGGATGAGATCAAATAGAAAAAAACTTCTCTTATTGGAAAGTGCTTTAATTTTATCTCTCTATAGATATCCATATCTTTCTTTTCTCTAAGCACACATCTGCTACTTATCTATTCCAGTTTAATCCAAGTATATTGCGGGCCTAGAATAGAGATGGAAGAATAATTACACGTACAGATGTAATATTTAATGGGCACAGTTGCGAGAAATAAAAACAAAATTGTCGTATTTTATTTACCGTTATAAAAACAGCAGTGGCTGTTTCCGTTACGCGATTCATAGTCTGATCTGGTGACGCAATGTCGGCTGGAGTGCAAAATGTATCGTATATTTGTAAGGCTTGTTCTATTCGTCTATCCAAAAACAGCCAAGTCTCTTTATGGTCCTCGCTGATGTCTTGCAACATGTACAATTCGGTGGTTTTGTAGATGGTCGCCAACATCATCCTCCTGACGTACCAGTTAAACTAATCGAGAAGTGATACAATCAAGCTTTTAGATTAATGTGTCCAAATCATCTCTGTTATGACTCACTCTATGTAAACATCAGTAAACATAACAACTTACGTCGACGGATCTGTCGCCAGCGTAGTAACAAATATCATCGACTAGAGTCAGTAGATTCGCTAACGCGATGGGCGCGTTCGGCGGCAGGCTCATGATCGCTAACGCTTGCGGCCACGTTTTCTTATACGGTGTCAGCATCCTCAGCCGCGTCTCCACTGCGTCGCGAGCCTGCTGTACCGGCTTCTTCCGCGGCTTCGACGGGTCATCCTGAATAGCCAGTACCTGTTTCTTTAGCATCTCGTTCAATTTGCGGTTGCACGAGGAGTAGAAATGATGAACTAGAGCTGCACCGCCGCCCGGGAACAGTCCATGAGTCACACCCGGGTATCCAATCGACTCAGCACCTATAATATTTATTTCATTTATATAATTTGGTTATATATAAATATCTAGCAATAGTAGATATCACTAGATATATATCTGGCAATAATAAAAATTGCTAGAACTTGGCAATTGTTAGATTTATTAAGTTTTATTAGGTATCAATTTTATTAGATTTAAAGCTAAATTATTTTTATTTTATTTAAAAATGATGTTAATATTTCTATTTATAGATGTAAAGAGAAAAATCATACATGCAACGAGAGGAAACAAGAAAAATATCTAAATTACCAGCAGTGATAGCTTGTTTGCTCCAACCCAACTCTGAGACAAATATCAAAGACGCGTCGAGTATCTTTGTTTTGATATTTTTTTCATACTCCTCGTCGCTTTCTTCACGAGCGGTGTGTTGCGACTCCGCTTTTTTGTTAATATCATTTTCAAACTGATCGGCCAGCAAAGCCCTAGAAGTCCATAAACGTCTAAAACCTAGTAAAATCAATATCTACTTTTAAAGTCATCTATATTGGATGCAGAGAAACAGGTAGGTATAACGGAAGAGTTAATAATTTATTAATTTTTATCACACAGAATGAAGCACAGATGACTACTGAGAAAAACGTACGATAAAAAAAAGAATAGTTTATTAAGTATTAATTTATCAGTCAATTTCACAAGTTCACTATAAGCTTTTAGACACACATGACACACCGTGTAACGATAAAATTTTATCAGCAAAGTGTTTGTACAATTATCCGTATCTTCATGGCCGATTTCACTTCTACTCAAGTAGTACATTCGCTCGCTTGTTCAATTCCGTATTCACTCACGCATTCGTTGACTCTGATAAGAATGCTTTCCATCACATCCAGTCCGTTTATTGCCTGATTGCAGAACGCAATTTTCTCCGCGATTGGCATAACTGGCAATTGTTTACCGCCGACGGTCAATGTCACCATCGCGTTGACCTTTTCTATTTCGCCCGTAGAATAGCCCTTCCTTTGTCGTTCCAAGTCCTTCGCCTTCACTCTCCAATGTGTCTTGCACAAATCGATTCCGTCCCTTAACGGCTTCAGATAGTCGCTTTGGATCGTGTCCCTCATATTCCAAATGCCGGTTTCATTGCGCTTATCTCGGATGAACAAAAATCGCAACAAGTTGAGCGCAGTTATCACCTCGTCCGATATCTCCACGAGATCTGACGAACTACCATGTGGCAAGTTGCAAATCTTCTTCAACATTATTTTCATATTTTTGCCGAAGAAATGGGGATTTCGAGGAGTCGAATCAAGGCACTCGATGATGGAGGCTTTGAACATTCCCGTGATCAGGCTCAGCACGCCGGAATGCTCGTTGATCTCGTACAAGTGCGAAATCACTGAATACCTAGCTTCTATGTCAAATATCTTGATGTATTCCTGAAAAACACATCTCGCCTTCTTGCGGTTTGTATCGATGTCACAATAAATCATTATTCTGATAATCAGCTGAAATAGATCCTTATATATCCTCAGTCCCAACACATCTGAAGATACAGAGCGAGGATAAATACGCTTTATCACGTTCTCCATGAAGATCAATCCATTTGAGATTAAAATTTCCTGTTTCTTGTTGAACAAAACTTTGAAAAGGTACAAGCATGTTTCGAGAATGTAGTGAGAACTGTAAACCTGTGGTACGCTTTTCCAAAATATTTCTTCAGTAATTATATGAAAATAAAAATTAGCATAGGCCAAGTCTGACATGTTATCACTTAACTCGAACAGCACACTGCGTATATTGTCTTCAGAATATTCACTTTGCACTCTGTCATGGGTAATGTTTCTACTACAATTGCTAACTATGTTTAAATAGTACAATATATCTCCAGTAAGATTCAATGCTAATGTCATGATTTTTTCTAAGAGTTTCTTGTACATAACTGTTTCAACGACACTTCTGCTCAAGTAGCAAAAGGGTTTTCCACACAAAGTGATAGTAAGACTCAGAAGATGATCCCCAAATAGACAAGTTTCTTCAAGCTTAGAATTCATATCTGCTGCTTCTTCAACCAACGGTCCCAAGAACAATGTAATTGTTTCCAATACATTTATGATTCTGCAACTGGTTGCTTCTTGATCAACTTCACTGGGTATAGGCAAATCTTCAATATAGGACTTGATTGTACTGACAGACCATTCGATAACATTGGTTTTGTTCTTTCCTTTCATCATACATATTCCTAATGGCTCTAAGAGAGCACAGAACTTGACATCATTGTCTAAACACTCTATATACTGCAAGAACTCCAATACAGTTTCCATAGGATTGTATGCCTCTGCTATAGTGTTCAATACAGCCTTACAGCACTCAAACAGTTCTTGCTCAGACTGTGCGTTGAATTCTGTGAGGTATTCACTGGCGATGCGCACAATCTCACTTAAAGCATCCTCAATGAGTTCATTGTTCTCTGCTGCAAAGAGCTCCACGATTTCCTCGGTTTTACGGTCCTCTAGGAGGCTGATGAAACGTGTTACGAATGTCTGCGACATCTTTTCTAACAAAGAAAGTTACCACGTACATACATACATGCAAACATCACGCATTGTTATTATTGTACATAATGATCTCTTCGTTTGAGGTTAAGATTCCAACCAAACTTGCGGATACATCTTCGTTGTATCGAAAATGATAATACAAAGATTTCTAACTATTAGTTTTTCATTCTCACTGCCAAAGAATACTCGTAAGTGAAATTTAACAATAATAAAATCGTTTACTGCAATCGACGAATATTTTTCTTTCTTGATCCACCTTCATGCAGTCACTTCGTGAAAAAAATACGAGATATGCATCTTCCTTTTTCTGTTCCTTTTTAGATACTTTGTCTGAATTTTCACGGAAATTTCCACAGCCTGGGAATTAGTTGATGCAAGCGTGAAAAAGCACGCAGACCAAAGTCGATATCGACGTCATGCGTTTGATGATAAACTTGCACATTCAGCACGCGCGACGACTGCAAGAAGTGAAAGTGAAACGCGTCTACGAACTGGTTATTAAGATTCGCTTACCGGCCGTCGACAGTCTGCTCCGCATCAAGCGAATCGAATTCAACATCGCCATAGCTTTGGTTTTCGTTAAATCTTAATCAACATGTACTTCTGCACGAGCCGCATGTATACGTGTCAGCATGTTACTGCCTTGCAATGCGTATTGGGAACTCGAGTTTCCTTCTTACTTTATGCTACACGGAAACATGCTACATAGGAGCTAAGTGTTTTGCACTACATTACTAGCAGTTTTGTCAATATTCGTATAATTTCCTTTCAGAGTGTTTTTTTCTGCTGAATGTAATTAATAGTTATGTTCAGCAAAAAAAGTACTTTGTGTTGTGCTGCCAGTGTAAAGCACTTTATTCGTAAATTTTCTGCTGAACGACACTTAGCGGTTTATGCTTTTTCAACATATTTACTACAACATATTTACCTCTAGCATATTGAAAGTCTTTTGAAAAAAAATAACGACCACAGTAAACCTTAACGACCTTAGTAAACATATTGGAAAAGCGCAAACCGTTGGTAGCTCAGCAGAAAATCTTACAATTTTAAAGCTGCAATTTTTAAGCTGCCAGCGCAGCGCTTATTAGCGTGCGTTCGAAAACTCTATCCGGATGCACTCGCTGCATTGGAGTGAGAAAGATACAGGAGGGAGATAAAGAGAGAGGAGAAGTACCCGAGTAGAGTTTTCGAACGCGCCTCTAAAGGTGCGTTCGAGGAGCTCGCTATTAGTGCTATTCGGCACAGGCGTTTTTTTCGTTTCGTGACCACGATAGCGTTTGGTTGGTTAGTTTGGTCCACTTAACGCTCGCAACGCCTTGAGCAACGAAAAGACACCTCACTACCGTGTCATTCTATCCTTGTATATCTAATAGCGTGTTCGACTGGCCTTGGGTTAATCGCTCCGAGAGCGATTAATGACGTCATAACCCAGTAAACATGCATGTCTAAAAGATGTTGAAAAGATATCTAAAAGATATCTTATGCAACATTTTGTTGCATAAGAGCCATAATGGCTCCTGCACACAGAACGCGGTAATGCTTGCCGCGCGGCGGAAGTCCGCGCGACAGCCAATCAATATATTGTTTTTCCATAAGAGCTAGAAGGTTATTACGGAAAGCAGCATATTGATTGGCTGTCGCGCGAACTTTTGCCGCGCGACAAGCATTACCGTGTCCTGTGTGCAGGAGCCATTACTGCACCAGTTCAGTGGTCCCAGCCTTATGAATAAGCCTTAAGGCTGATCTATGATGGCTGTAATCCGTTAACTTATGCCGGAACCGTAAAAAATTGACCAACCAGTCGATTATTTTTCTATAATTCGACTATGATTGGTCAATTTTTTACGGTTCCGATATAAGTTAACGGATTACGGCCATCATAAATCAGCCTTTAATGTGCACTTAATGCGCACTAGTGTAACCACTCAATATGTCGGCTTCTAACGAATTTTATACATTTGCAGTGTGTCATCGGAAAGATTTGTTTTTTACGATTAATATGTATATTTGTAGATTTGGGAAAATTATTTTTAAAAAATAATACGTTACCACGTGCGCGCTCGCGTTACTCGTTACTCATTGAAGAAATAATTTGTTATGTTATTCAAGAAGTAACAAATAGTTACAATTTTTCTCATAAAATTTTGAAGCCCTTTTTTAGGATTTCTTTCTATTCATTGCATACACATGCATTCAATGTGTACAAACATTGCAAAACCAAATGTATTATTTTTACGCGCATAAACGTTTAAAAAAATACACATTTGACTAAAGCTCTTTCTACACGTTTTTTCCATTTTAAACCACGTCGTTTAACATGTTTAAATGTGTTAAATGATTTAACGGCAATAAATATATAAGAAGAGTTTTTCAATCAAAATTACACATTTAGATTTACAGTGAAGTAACAATAAGAGTAATGATTATATTTATTATCATTATCCAACAAATATAATTACGTTATCGTTACCATTACTAAGCTAAGTAGAACAAATTTCTAAAAGATATTTTAAAAACATCTTAAAAGTCTAAAAACACATAGAACATCCTTAAGTTATTTTTTAGAAATTTGTTCTACTTGAAAATAAATAAAAATAATGTTGTTACCAAATTGTTACCGAGAAAAGGTAACTTTTAATGCGTTATTTTCCAACTCTACATGTATCTGACACTCTGTGGAAGAGCGAAGAAAGCAGAAAGATTGTGCAAGATATTTTGGAAAGTGTAGCTATAGAAAACAAGTCTACAATTGATTGTCATGAATGTGGATCAACATTGCGATGAATGAATATTCATTAATAAATCGCACACTCGTAACCGTCTGCTAAGTTTTGTGTATTGCGAACTTTCCCGTCGTACCTAACCTTAAACGCATAGTGTTCGACATTGACAGCGGTTTGAAAATTTGAGAAGATTTGATTGTAGCAGCATGTTGAGCATTAAATATTGAAAGTTTGGAACAATGTCCGACTCGTCGGATGAGAATTACGTGACATTCGGTGTGGCTCTTGATCCCTTGGATGAAGGTGGATAAATAATCCAATACGAATTGTCATGTAGTCATGTATCGTTTCGTCATTATTTGCTACATTGTAACTTGTATTTTTCAGAAAATATTCCACGGAAGAAACCCGTTACAGTCGAGGATCAATATGCCTATGATGCCCAAGGCAGACGCAGGTTTCACGGAGCCTTCACTGGTGGTTTCTCTGCTGGGTACTTCAACACCGTCGGTACTCGCGATGGTTGGAGACCACAGCAGTTCAAGTCTTCCAGGAGCAGCAAGGCAGACAGCATCACTCAACGGCCAGAAGATTTTATGGATGAAGAAGACACAGGTCTCTTTGGGATTGCTCCGAAAGGAATTCGAGCTACCAGTGATTACGCTGATCATGGACAAAAGGGAAAGAAAAGGGAGAGGATAAGTCAAGATAATAGTGGGCCCATCCCTGGTACTCCAGTCTTGAAAGAACTTCTGAAGCCTGTCAAGTTAGTATCTGTGAAATTTAATATAATTTTATGATTTTATCTTAGTTTTCTTTAAGCTTTGATCGCTGGTGTTATACTTGTAACTAAAGTGAAAATAGATATAATTATTGTGTATAGAAATTATTAGTGCAATTAGAATAATTAATTACAATAATAATTAGAATAATGTACTTGTGAAATTTTTAATATAAAGATATTTTTATGTCAATCATCTTGAAGTTTTTATTATTGGTGTTATATTTGTAACTAAAATCAAAACAAATATATAATTAGTATAGAAATAATTAGAATAATCAGAATAATTAATTACAATAATAATTCAAGAAACATACATATACGCACAATACTGCATGAAAAAGTGAATGAATTCCGATGAATTGAAATAACTAGATTAATTATAGAGAGAGGAGTTTCAAAATATTAAAACTATATTCTGTGTTATTTAAAATAGAGAAACAGTTGGTATTGTCCTGCTGAAGAAAATGGGCTGGAAACCTGGTCAAGGTGTGGGTTCTAGACTAACTAAGAGAGAGAAACGCAGGATGAAGCAACGTAATGAGAAGTTGAAGTTAGCACAAGATAACCATGAAACGATCCTGAGCAACTCTGAGGATTCCGACGATGACTCCATCGATGTTACTTTCGCTCCCGACGATTACGAGCCGTTCAGGTGCAAACCAAAGGACAATTATTTCGGCATCGGCTACTCAGGCCTGGATAGACGAAAAGTTCTCTCTAGTCACATCAATTTGTTCGATACGCCGGCGTTCTGCGTTCAAGATAAGAACAAAAAATTGTCAATACATGGTCAAGCATTCGGAGTCGGCGCGTTTGAGGGCGACGACGAAGACATATACGAACGAGAAGACATGTCGCGATACGACTTTGCCCTGGGTCCTGAGCGCAAGACGAAGACGAGATGGTCTCAAGATGGTTCAAGTGGCTCGTACACCGACTGTCTGGAGGGTTTCGTCCGTGCGAAAGAGAGACTCGAAAGCAAGAAAGTTTTCAAACCACCAGAATTGCCGAAGGACTTCGCACCGGTGCACACCGTCAGGAAAAGTAGGTTTTTCCCGCCGATCGCGACTCCGTCGCGCACGTTACAAAATGGCAAACGCAGGGAGTTGAACGCTGTGGATAGAGCGCGGATTCTGGAAGACTCAGACGATCACTCGAAAAAGCCACCGAGCTCATCCGTCGCTTCTAACATTATTTCGAAAACGTTAAATCTGCAAGGCAAACAACAGACAGAGGAGAGACGAAAGTTGGAGGCTCAGCAGACAACGACGACCGGTTCGTGGTTAGACAAATTGAACACCCAAAACTTCATAAAAGGCAGTGTCGTTGAGTCCAAAGAAGATGACACGGGTCTGAAGACACTAGAGGACTTCAAGGAATTTGTGTCTACATCTTCAAGCACGGACCAACCGAGCGGAAATGACGCCCTGGACAAAAATGAAACAAGAAAATTGTTCTTAGCCGATCCAGACAAGCAAAGGCGATTCGAGCAGTACCTCGCTTTCCTGAAGGATGACGATCCGAGCAAGCTCGAGAGCATTCAACTGCTCTCCATGACCGATTGGGAGAGAGAACAGGAACGCACGGAATTCGAGCAAGCTGCCAAGCTTGAGCAGTCAAATGATTATATGGCGAATACGTTTGTACAGAGCGTCGATTGCAAGATAGACGACGTGGATCCAGAAAAAGATAAGAAGCAAGCAGTCAAGCTGAAGATGTTCGGCAAACTCACTCGAGAACGAAGCGAGTGGAAACCGGCGAGCATCGTTTGTAAGAGATTTAATATCCCCGAGCCGAAAGTCGGCTGTGCCCAAGTTACGACGCAGCGGAGGGCAGCGAAATTCTCCATCTTTGATTCCTTAGATTGGTGCAGCTCGTCTAAGTTTACAAAAGCCACGGACACGGTGTCTCAGATACAAACGGAAGAACCTGTTCCTCAATCGTCGAAAAAAACGGAAGAAACAGATGAAGTAGCCGGCCCTAACAATATCCCGTCTAATATCTATCAACCCTCGGAAGCCGTTTCCGAGAAATTTAAGATCTTCGAGGCTTCTTACGAGAAAGTTTTCGGCAAAGGCATTCAAAGCGCTATCCCAAAAGGCGTCGAAGAACATGCGGCTACTAGTTCAAAGACTAAGGATACACACGAGCAAGAAGCAGAAAATAAGCAAGAAGTTGTCGAGTCGGCGAACACGTTCAAGGAACAATCTGAAGAGAAGAAGGATCTGTTCAAGGCGATTTTCCTCAGCAGCAGCGAGGATTCCGACAGCGAGACGGAGGAGAACGTCGACAGTGAGGCGGTCAAGTCGATTTTGATCGGAAAAGATCCGAAGGAGATAAACGTGCAACGAAATACGTCGCCGCCGCGAGGTATCTTCGCGAAGCTGGATCTCGACAGTCTAGTGGCGCAGCCGAAAGCACACGCCAGCAAGGACGATTCACCTGAGGAAAATGCGTCTTCCAAACGCGCAGAGACCAGTTTACTCGCGGTCCATGAATCGCAGAATGATGACAGTCTTGTGGATCGCAGCGAAGCCGGTGACACGTCGGAAGCTGCGATATTGCCGGACATGTATGGTCCAGTGCTACCGCAGAGGTTGTTGAAGCATGAGAACAGCGCGGCAAACGTGGTCGAGGTCGACGATGACACGACGCAGTTGCCAAAACCGGTATACCGCAGCGTCGTTGTATCGAAGAGCGCGAGCGACGACTCCAGGCTCGGCGGAAAGTGGGTAGAGCGAGACAAGGTGAAGACGTCGAAGAAGGAGAAGAAAAAGCATAAGCACAAGGAGCATAAGAGTTCCAGGCATAAGAAGAAGTCGAAGAAGGAGAAACGCTCGAGACGTTGATTCTCAATTGTTGCTTTTTACTTGGTGCTTCGGAATACGCATATGTGAAGTAATGTAATTGTATATATAGATATATTCGACTCTTTCTCTTTGTGCTCGCAACCGCAAACTGATTTCTTCAGCTTGTGGACGCGTCACACTTCGACAAATTCTCAAAGTGAATTTGAATCCTAATAGCGAAGTTTCTCGATCTTTATCATTGTTCTAGTAGGATTTATGAGTTTTAAATGGACGAAGTGTCGAAAATTGTCGAAAACGAAACATTTACACGGAGAAGATATTATGGTTTGTTTGTTTTCATATAAATTCTTCTCAATTTTACTATGTTTTTAGTAGTTTAAGAATAGACCGTCAATAAATCTTGTTAAGAAATGTAGTAAATTTCCTTAGAAAAACATTGTAGATTTTGCTGGAAACATAGCGAGTGTTTTAATAGCATATTTCAATTTCTAAAATATATATGTAGCATATAGTGAATTGCAGAATGTCGGTCTATTTCTCGGTTACAAATTCTGTAGTAACTTTTGTTATAAGATTTTCTTCGTGTACCATGCGTTAGATCGTTAGACAAGGTCAAATACTACATGCACGTGCTACTCTTGAAGCACGTGATGTGCGATTAACTGCGCGTTTTCTTGAGTAAGAGCTACTTGGTAAGATGTTAAATAAACCAATGATTCATAGATAATCAGTGAAATTTCAATATTATATTTTCCAAAAATCTTTGGTGGGTATTGCACATTACAGTTTGCACACATTCACGATCATACACGAGTCGTTTTCGATTCGCGCGATTGGCGCATATTTCCGCGGCGAGAACCATCGCGTAGACTCACACTCGCGTAAAAAATAGCATAAAGCGAATGTATCAACACGAGATCTACTCTCTATCGGACATCATGACCATACAGATATTCTGGTTTAAGGATAACCCTCGTGATTACGCGTTATCAACAAGAACACACACGTACACGTGTCGCTTCTACTTGTCGTGAGAATTGAACTCGATGCATCATGGTGTTTAAGTACGAATTTGAGCAGTCTGCCTTTTCATCGCAGCGTCATCGAATGCAATGCTATCCTCTCTTGGAAAATAGTAGTGAAGTCTTCAGTTGAAGTGTGCAGTCCCTGAACGAGATTGTGCAGACGATATGGCATTATTTTAGTCCGATGTCATGGAGTTCCTCGAAGCAGGCCTGCTAGAATTCCCGGATCCAATCTTTTTATCTAGACTGAAAAACCATCGCAGTATCATTGACGGATGACGTATTTCATTGTTGGTGAGTTGTTCTTTGTATTCTTTATATATATTTATGAATAATTTAAAAAAAGTTGTTTAGTACTTAAATTTAAATCTTTTTAGTTGAATTGAAATTTTTTAATTGAAAATTTGCATTTGAATTGAATAATTTAGTCATAATTTATTTCAAGATACCTGCTGCTTCTCGAACCTCTCTTGAACATTGCTGTTAATTTCTTCTTTAGATTCTTCTTCTCCAATTTAGTGCTTTCATTAATGCTGGTCTCAGAACCGGACGTCTGCAACGTTCAGCCATATTAATGAAGATGTTACAATAGAAATACTTCGGAATATTAAAATTTCTTCTTGCCTGAAGGGAATAGTCAGTCATGTTTGGGTCATCGACGCTGGACGATTTCGTCAATTTGTGCGTTAATTTTCGTATTATACCTTTGCCGTACTTTCTATCGCGCTCTAACATTTCGCTCTTTGTCGACCCTCCGGAGAGACGGCTGAACGAAAAAATTGTTAATTTCATCGTGAATTTATTTACTAATATTACGAATACGATACCTGTCTACACTGGAATCCCTCTGTCGACTAACTCCGCGAGATCCTGCTTCCGATCCCTCCAACGATTGCATGCTCGACATGTTGCTGTCCGTGCCCCAAATAGCTGGAGACTATATTCATGTAAAAAGTCGCGATTATCGTCACAAACTCAGAAATTGGCCTCATCTCAAAGTTCATGCAGACGCAATTCTATGAATTGCACACTCACCTCTTGACGCCCAGACGTTGTTTGTTCCAAAGAGAGACTCTTCCTCTTTAAACGCGGTTTACTGCGATTCAAAACTACTCCTTTTCCTGGATCGCTTTCAACCGACGTCGATCTAGATTACAGCGACAATGTGACATTCTTCATGTTCTCGACATTTGGCAAGAAATCAAATCACGTAAGTTGCGAAACTTACCTCTTTCCCATCTTCTTCAGTCGTGTTGCGTTCGCTTCGTCCGTCACTTTCTTCGACTCCTTAAGTTCCTTTGCTACGTCCATTAATTTTCTAATGGTGTATTCTAATTTCTCTGTCCTTTCTCCGAGTATAGGGGTAACTGTAAATACGAGTATATTTTGTAAATTATTTGTCCGAAAAATTTGAGCTAGTAAATTTTTATACGAATACCTTTTACGTCACTCTTTGTTTCCAACATTGGTGACGACTCTCTTGATTTTGGTCCCTACAGATTGTATTAAGATTATTATACATTGAAATTATTAGAGCATGAAGTAAACTTTCTGCTTTTCACACCTTCAATCGTCTCGGCGGGGTTGGCGTGTAAACGTCAGTCGTTCCATTCTCCGCTATAGAGTCAGTTAATTCGGGGAAGAGTTGTAGTAGATCTTCAACCTGTTGCATAAGAATGTTGATGTTTCGCAGCTCGGTTTGCTCCAATTTACATTTGTTCAATATCACATCTTTGAGTTCCTGCCTCTCCTTCTCATGTCGCTCCTTTTCGCGTCTCATTTTCTCGTTGCTTGTTCTTAATTTCGCGTGTGCGTCTCTCAGCTCGAGTAAATCGCATTGCAACTAGAATCGATCACAATCGAGAAAGTGAGAATTATATATTACTAATATTTTCAGATCATGCAAATGTCTAGCTCAGCAATATCTAATTTTAATCACCTCCGATAATTTCTTCTTATTTTCTTCTTTTTCTTCATCGAATACTTTCTTCAACTGATCTTGTCTCCTCTTATTTTCAAGTCGTTCTTTACTGCGCTCTCTTTCTATCTGTAAGAATAACATTTGTGGAAACTTAAAGTATTTGAATCGACTATATCGTTCCATTTAACGCACGTTAAATTGCTAAGTAATACCTCGAATAACGTTTGCCTCAAATCCCTCGCTAACGTTGCTGTTTCCTGAAGTAATCTTTGATGTTCTTGTCTCTCTTTTTGCCAAGCTAATTCCATTCGCACCTTTAATCCAGGAATTTTTGAACGACCGCTGGTCAGCAATCGTTCTTCCTCCAACTGCAACCGTAAAGAAGATTAATTAATGGAGAGAAATATTTTTAGAAATTATTATTTGAAAATTTATGATTTGCAATTATACCTCATTGATTCGAGATTGCAACTCGGAGACCTTAACGTGACTAGCAGATTTTTCCGAAACCAATTCGGCTTTCAGTCTAGAAGCTTCAAGCTTTATTTCGGAAAGCTCATCTTCCATAGAAGTGATCTGTTTTTCTAGTACTAATATATTTTTACTTGATGATTCTTCATCCTAATAACAGAATATTTTTATCATCTAACGATAAAGAATACATAATATATAAATAATATGATTAATATTATTAATATTCTCGATTAAAATATCTGAAAATAGTTACGTAATCTTATTAAAAATGAGATTTCAGTGCGGGATTTTATTAATTCATTCACGAACCTCGTCCGACTTTCCAGAAGATGCACTGGATAGCCTGCCTTGTCTCGTAGACTTTAGCTCTCCTATTGTTTTTTGCGCACCTTCCAACATGTGTTTGTAAGTATCACGTTCTCGTTTGTAACGCGACAATTGGCTCTGGATCGCTTGAATTTCGTCGTTAATCGCTGTGATTCTGTGCTCGTAGCGCATTTTACATTGCGCCAAGTCTGTCTTCTTGGCTTTCTCCGTATTCGTCAGGGCGTTCTTTAATTTTTGAATTTCTGATTCCAGCGCTGTCGTGTCGGGTATCAACACTTGATGAATTTTAGAGACCGCTTCGTAATCTTTTAATTTTGCAGACAAATCGTCATTCTGTGAATTGATAATTTTCTTTTTAATTCGAAGGCAAACTTTTAATAAGTTCAGAGACTATGAAAGAGTTATTCATGCAAATTTCGAAATAAATTATAGAAGAATCAACGGAATTCTATGTTGCATGCTTACTATTTTCTTCGTATCTTCCAATCGTTCAAGTAGAGTGGCATTTTCCTTCTTGAACGTATTGATTTCATTGTTCAGTTCGGTTATAATAAGTTTGTTTGGCAATTGGCTCTCGCGAATCTGGCTCTAGAATTGTAAATTGAAAAAATAAAATTTTAAATGAAAATTTAACTATGATAAAAAATCACTATATGGGGGATTTACGCACTTCGAAAGAAGTTTTCTCCAATCGCCATTCGCTCTCTTTTGCTCTTATCGAATTACGCAGTTCTTCGAGTTCCGCTTGAATATTATTTAAATCCTTCTTACGCTTCGAACATTCGCTAGAATGAAACGTAAGATTAAATGAAAGAGGTCACACGAGATATTTAATATTGTTGGTAGTGAATTCTTACTCCTCACACTGTTAGTGTCGAATTGCTGTTTACCTATTCAGAGATTCATTTTCCCTTTCAAGTTGTAGCTTTGAGCTGCTAAGCTCTTGATACTTTTCTGTTAAAGTCTCATGTTTTTGTTCATGTTTCTTTATCTCATTCTCGAGATCTGAAAATTTTATCGCGTTATAATAAATTTTATTATCTTATAATAAAATTCAAAATACCATGACAAGACCATTCAGTATAAGTATCTGTTTTATCTTAGATCAGTGCTCGGAATTATTTGCACTTTTGAGATAATTTTTAATTAATTCCAGGCACTGTCTTAAATTAATATTATTCTTCCAAACAATGATACTTCACTCAAGATTTTCTCATTGTATGTCTGCTTCATCTCGTTCAAGCGTTTTGTGTTCTGTCCAGACTTTTCCAAGGAAGTTATCTTCTTATTGAGAGCTGCTATTTCAGCTTCTTTCGCTTCTTTTTCATTGTCAAGCTGCGATGTTAATTTTGCACTTTCCTGCTTGAATTTTGTAACTTCAGCGGTTAAGTCCATAATTTTTGTTGACGTGGAGGATTTTGTGTTCTCCAATTCCTTCTTTAAACGTTTCACCTCAACGTCGAGCTTGGATTTTGTTTGTTCAACCTATTTCGGTCGAAATATTAACAGAATTAAAGAACAAATCCAACAGGAGAACGAGACACATCAGGTATTAAAAGGAGGATACATGTGTACTTACAGATGTCATTGATTGTGTGAGTTTTGATTCTCTCTCGGTGTATGATGACAAATCATCCTGTAGTCTTTTACATTTTTCTTCTTCTTGAGAGAGCTTTTCGTTCAATTCGTTTATTGTTGTCTGCATCATTGCTGTATCTTTTCCCGACGTCTTAGCCGTTTCTGTATTTCAACAAAAATCTTTTTACATATAATCGATTCTTTTTATATATTGAGTGTATATAGAATAAAAATATTTAAAGTTCATTAAGCTATTAAAGATCCGAGCAAGATTAGACTAAAAATGAGACTCAAGTTTTACCGAGGTCTTTCTTTAGTTGTACAACCTCATTGTAAACTCTCAATTTCTCAGCAGATAGCGATAAAAGTTTAGATTTCAATTTATCCTTTTCATCTGAAAGCGCTAATTTTTCTTTCTCCCATGCTTTTCTCTCAGTTTCCTGTAAAGCAAGTTCTTCCTCCAGTTTTCTTTTCACTGTAATAGAATTTCGAGATTGCATAAATTCGATCATCTTTCTCTTATGTAAATTTTAATTAAAAATTTTAATTTTTAATTTTAATTAAATTTTAAATTTTAATTAAAAATGAGTGGAATTTACCATTTTGTAAATCCACGTTTTTCGTGTCTTCCACTTGTACATTCGATTGTGCTTTTTTCTTTTCTTTCTCGTTGGTCAATTCTTTTACAGTAGTCTCGAATTTTTCTTTAAGCAACTCGTGTTCTTTCAGAAGCTTGTCATATTTCAAGTTATTTTCCTTCGGTTTTATGTCTGGTATGTCCACATTATGTCCATTTTTTATGTTAGTAAAAATACCGAGCATGTTTTCTGAAATGTTAATAATCGATTAATAAAATGTTCAATTTTTGCTTGATTAATGAAAACGGGCTAACGAGCAAACCTATTTCTTTCTCCACCTCGTCAACCATCTTTTTAAGTTGCACTTTCGTCGTGAGGTCCGTTGGCTTCTTTTGCGTTCTATTCTGGAATGCGTTGCTTACTTTCTGCAGAACTTCTTCTGTTTTCTTTACCTAAAATACAAAAATCAAATTTAGAGAAGTAATAAATATATAGAAAAATAATTTTTCAATATTGTGCAAATTTACCTCTTCGTACTTTTTTTCCAAAGCGGATCGCTCGTTTTCTACTTCTTCGGCTTTGCGCTCTACTTTTCTCAGTTTGAACGACAATATCCGGCAATTTTTGTTGGACTGCTCCAAACTTTTTCGCAAACGCGTATATTCGTCTGCTTGTTCATCCCTTACGTGCGAAAATTATATGATAAACAACATATATAGGATATGCACTGCGGTGTAGTGTATTTAAATGCAATGTGTTTGTCATATTTTGAATATCTCTGTCCCTTATAAAGGTGCTTAAAAAGATTTGATATAAAATTTATGATGATAGAGCAGTACGATATCCCTCGTCAAAGTTTTTTAATTCTTGCAAAACTTTAATGTAAAACGTAATTCTTTTAGGCTCACTACTTAGATTTTCTTCGATTGGCACGTTCGCGAAAAAGTGGATGTGATCCCAGAAAAGTATTACGTGAGACGTAAAAATAACAAAAAATTCACAGATTTCATGATTACCAAACAAAGGTACCCCCAAATGGTCTCCATGTTTGGTGAAAAGCGAGGGTGCCGTCGTGTTGGGATCACATACGTCTCCCGTCCAAATAGTTGTCCTGCAACAATCCATATATAGCTCATTTTGCAAAAAAATTTGGATCTTTTTATTCGAGGCGCGGCATCACCGGTATATAAATTCTTAATTTCAAAAGTGAAGTTTTCAAACAAAATTTCTGGACGTAGAGAGATTCTTTTTATTCAGAGACCAAAATGTAGCATCTATTAAAAGGAACAGAGATACCGATCTCGATGAAGATGTGACATACGATGTTAAAGTGATATCTGACAGAATCATTTAATTACAGAAAATCTCATAGAATAGCGAGTCGTACTTCGCTCAGTTAGTAACGATCCAAGATTGTAGATTGTGCAAATGTCTAAGAAACTACAAAGTATAGCATGCGTATTAAATTGAAAAATTCCCTTCGCGATATACCTTGAAGATATATTACCTGAAATTATCCTGCAGTTCATAGATCTCCTCCTCTAATTGTCTGATCTCCTTCTTCATGTCCTCGTTCTCGTCCATTAAGTTCTCGCAGAGATTTTCCGCAGCTTTCAACTTCGATCGCAAGTCGTCGTGCGCTTTATCCCTCTCTCCTCTGTGTGGTTTAACACTCGCTTCTTTTTCCAGATCTTTTATTCTCGCCAGCAACACGTTCTTCTCTTGTGCAAGTACTGAAACACACGTGGGCGTTGAGTGCAAAGAAACGGCGATATTTCGAGTCGAGAAATACCTTCGTTCTTCTTCTGCAGCTTCAGCACTTCACTCGCCGATGTCTTGTTCGACATCGTCTCCATAGTCGCCAAACGACGCATCAGTATTTCGCTCTTTTCCTTCTCCGCCTTCTCGCACCTCGCCTTCATATTACTCAACTGAGACCGCAATTTCTCTATCTCATTCTGCGAGAAGAGCAAATGTCATCGTTAATGATTTGAGATTGCATTCGTTCGCATGTTTAATCGTGTTTAATCCCCTCGGCCTTAATGCTCGAAAACCATTCGAAAACTCATCGTAATTATTGAAGTCGCGCTGCGCTCGTATCGGTAATTTAATTCATATCTTTATGAGTGCGTCGTCGTATGCGCGCAAATTTCTCTTTTGTTGTAAACAAGTCAGACCTGAGAGGGTTAAATATATCAAATAAAGAAATAATTAAATAAATAAATAAATAATAAATAAATAAATAATTAAATAAATTAAATAAATAAACATATAGAGAGCGCATATATATATGCGCTAATACTGGGAATTTCTTCATAGAGAAACATTCGTTTGCATTATAGAAAATATATAAAAGATAGACACATAACATTAGACGATCATACGGTTAGTTAATCATCGAACGAGTTAATTGACATGGAAATGAACATAGTGCACTTAAAGAAAGTCCTGGTGGGATATCGCGAGTGTTTCGCAATTCACGATATACAACATTATTAGATTGGTCTATGTACAAGTACGTACATGGTACGTAAGTTATTAATATATTCATAACGAATTGTTATTAATCGTAAAAGTTTCCTTCGAGGTACTTCAAGGTAACGAAAGAGTGTCGGCGGTCTCACCTCCTCGGCATCCTGTCCTTTTACCGTGACATTGTCCAGTCCGTCCTGGACCACCTGTTTCGGCGGTGCCGGCCGTGATTTCCTTACCTAAAGTAGTGTGACAAAAATGAGAGCGCAAAGTGGAATTGAAAATTCGCACACCATTATCAACGAGAATGTCGCTACTCTACCGTCTGTGGTACAACTAAATCGTATCAAGACCTGTTGGAACCAACCCTTTGGCGTCTCCTATGAGGAAGACGTTTGCATGCGTGTGTACGTGTTTGTGATGTTTATTATGACAACAGAAGAGAGCATTCCATGCATTAGTGGGTTAAACAGCCGAAAGGGATACCTGAATTATAAATTCAACGTCGTTCTCCGAGGCGCCTTCGTTGCTGTTGCTTATCACATTTCTTATCTGCAGCTTCGCTGGCCTCCTAATGTCTGCGTTAGCACATAAGCAATAAAAAATTATTAGAAGATACATACGTAAGAAAAAAAGATAAAATCGCTGGAGAAAAAGATATTTTTGAATTTCTCATATTAATTATTACAAATTGTAATATGGATTTTATTATTTTTTTTATAGATGTTTCGCGTTGATTACCCTCTAATTTGTGGCTTTCGTCCGCATCCGTATCTATGGTAGAGAGATCCATCAGGGATGTCCAACCAGCCGTTGCTGCCGGCTGTGAATAATTATTCTTGGTTTCATCTTTCGCCAAGTTCGTAGCGGAAGACCACGTCCTTTTGCTCTCGGAGCCACTTCAAAATTCAATTGCGAGACAACAATCAATTTTTCTATGATATTCGAAAACGCAACTTCCCTTATAGCGCCGTATCGAATTGACTATTATTGATACCATCGAAAATAAAACGGTTGGCTCATCCGCCATTATGACTCGTACTATTCGAAAAGAATTATAACTTGCGGTTGAGTCATGACTGCCTCGATTCGTCGTGAGAAATGGTAACGGTTTGCCGCATCTAATAGGCTTGAGTTCTGGTTATGTCGAGTCTTTGCCAAGTGGGGTTTGAATCTCATCTAAGTCGCCGCTTTTATCAGTTTCAAAGTCTCTATCGCGAAACCGCACCGTTTCTACCGACAAATCGAGAGTCATTCTGTTGTTTAAGAGAAAGATTTTGTGCTTATCTAATCAAATAAAAGTGTTGAGCGTGGATTAAGCTATCAGGAATCAAATATTTGTCAAACAACACGATCACTGAATTAACAATCTATTTTCGACAATTCAGGTAAAAGGAAATTCGCAACGTCAAACACACATTTGTAGAAATGGCGACACGCGGGCTCAAAAACGTAGTCCACAGGAATGATTTTCGACAGCCTGATTTGCGAATGTTTCGATAAATATTCCGGTAGAGAAGATATTATCCTTGTAACTTTTGATATATATTTTACACATACACATACATAGAGAAATAGAAGAAGTGGAAGAGAAGTGAAATCAAATATTAGTTAGAATATAGATAGAATTAATTTTATAAATTAATAAATAGAACATAAATAAATTATATAAATGAGATAAGAATTAAGTGTATATACAACTATTTAACGATATCCGTTTCATATGTTTGTCATAGAATACACCGAGGACCACGAGTAGCAAAATCGATTTCAATTTTGATATCGATTTCGACTCCGATTCCAATTTCGAGAAACGCATCGACAACAAATGTACGTTATGTAATGGGCATTTTGTAATCTACGATGACGGAACCAACCTACCGCGTCGAGTCCGACGAGAGGCTGGGAGACGAAGTCGTGATGTCTCCGAGACTGTTTCTCCTGCCGCCATGCTCTTTGTAGTCCCTGAGGAGTAATGGTTTATTCGAAACGCATGTCTTGCTTCATTATCTTACCGATCATCAATCTGTTCATCAACCTTATGCATTATCATCCAATCTCGCCTAATTTCAGATTAATTACCTGAAGCAGCGTTTACAACGCGTCGGCCACCGAACTTGCGGGTGAAAGCCCAAAGGGCAGAGAGGATCGCCTTTTTTGGACGAATACATGGAGTGCATCCTGTGGACGTGAAGATCACGCCTTTCAATTTGCAACTTCATATACTATCTGTGCTCGGAGTGATACGAGACGAAGTAGGGAGTGAAGTGCATCGGAACGGAGCGACGACGGACGAACGTGTCGCAAAAGCTGAACTAATCGCGCGCAATTTACTTATTTTGAAATTGCTTTTGCATTTGAAATTACATTCTAAAACATTGCCGACAATATTAGCATTTTAAAGTAACGACGTTGTCTGTCGCAATCAAGGAAAAACAGGCGAAACGTATGACTGGCGAGAGGATCGCGAGAACCGAAAGAGACGTTTCTAATTCTTAGTTAACGCACTGTCCGCGAAGCGATGCAACCGCATATTTCGGACAATGCGAACACATGCGTGCGCGACAACCGTGACAGAAAACCGTGACACTTGGAGAATCATGCGCCAAGCACACACACCGGCAGTTTATTTATAAAATTTCAATGCCACATCGTGTTCGCCTTTTTTCCTCGATTTTCTACGCATGCAAGACCGAGATCCGACGGATTGTCGGGCGTTCTCCGTTCGATTGCAATGTCCATCGATCGCGATGAAAAGCTCTTACGCAATATCGCGTTGCAATGCTCTACTCACTCGATCGGCACCCGGTATTAACCCAAATGCAGCGGCTCGGCGTGAATTAAATTTATCCTAGACGCCGGTCGGTCAGAAACGGGCGCTCGTCGCGGCGCACGGAGTCTCTTCTATCCTGAGCGGTCGCATCTCGTAATCAAACGGCACTCGCGTATTCGAAAAGGGTGACTTTTCGAGCTCTCGACTAAGGAAGAATCCGGGAGAGTTCGAAAGTGAGAGAGATAATTCACGCGTCTCTTCTACTTGCACTCCCGGCGCATTTTTTCTCTATTCACACGTTCGCAATCCGCTCTGGCGATTCCTACCTACGTCGTACGCGACGTCACTAATAGCACTGACACAGCTGCTATTACGGGGTTTGTCCGTTTCCCGTAGCCGAACTGCGTGTGGATATACGAGCGATTGGACTTACGCCAAGATGTATATTTATCTTTAGCTATAAATATAGAGGAAGCGCGCTACACGCGCAAAACTGCGGGTGTGCGTGAATGCGACGCGTGTGTTCGCGCTGGCGGTCTCGTCACAACGGGCCCAGCGAGTCTATCCTAGAAATGACTTGACTTCGAGCGCGCGTTGATGCCACTATCATCGCGGCCGACCTTCCTCTTCGAGGAGCATTTTTGGGAACGATTTAGACAGTGGCCGAGCGATTGTGTGCATGACTGGACAAATTGGCGAATCCGTTGTGAGAGATGAGTCTGGAATTTGACGGTGGAACAATCGACTCGGAGATGAAGGGAGCTGATGGTTCTTTAGAAGAAATTCGTGAGAGATGAATTCGGAACTTGACAGTGGAAAGATCGAAATAAGAGTGAAGGGAGCTGATGATTCTTTACGAAAAATTCGTAAACTAAGTCGGAGGCTAATTTGGAGTTTGACGGTGGGAAGATCGACTCGAAACGCAGCTGATTGCTTTTCGCAGACTTTTATTAACATACAACACCACTTTGAACATTGCACCGATCCCTTTTATACGGTATAAAATTATAAACAATAGATAGTATACAATAGATTAACACATTTATTTGATAGCAATTTTTTCATTGATAAACAGTGCTTGATCGTCGGGAGTTATCGTTTCTTGCTCAGGCGAGAGAACGGGAAGACAATAGTTCCAAAGCTTCCGTGTAAATTGGAAATACAACGTAGCGATACCTCAATATTTTCATGCGTGTGGTCATATATGTCTACTAATCGTTTTAATATAGTCGAAACACATTGCAGTGGGATTTGTCTCTCGCTGAATATTCTAGCGGAATGCTTCGAAGGCTTTGATAGAATCTCTGTATTTGTAAAACGTGGAATTTGTATTTCCACACGTGTACATAAAAGTATAAAACTAGATTTTATATATTTATCTATATATATAACCCACTTCTCTTTGTGATTTTATATCTAAAATATAAAACTTTTATATAAAATCCCATAATTTTTACTTATAAAAAGAAACTACTCCGTATCTTCTTGAAATTATAATGATAATCATTCTTAACAATTATAGAATGCTCTCGTTGAAAAGCAAGATTTTTTGAGATTTTTCGAAAACAACTTCTTATCACAAATATATAACGCTATAATATTGTTTAAAACACGACTGTTGTATGTGTATATTTCTTTGTATATCTCTTCGCATATATCTATACCTTGAAATTGATTAAGGTGTTATTTTTTTAGTTATCGTAAATTTCAATAAATTTCATGCTTTTCTATAATATTTTATATATATACAACTAAATCAATTATCACCGTTTCGAGCGAAATATCTAACTAATCAACGGAAGAATTCTATGCTTGAAATCATTTTTCACGCGCAGTGTCCACCAAGAAGTTAGTCTATTTGGAATAATAGATAATGAGTAGAAACATGATTTATATGTACTGTTTATGATTAATTTATATAACTGTATTTGTAATATGACAATGTATATATAATTTCATCTCAGGGAGCGATAATGCAATTATATTTTACTGTTCGTAACGATACACGGTTGGTTCAAGAATAATATAGTAAAATATATAAGCGACATATTAGAAATTTACAAAATGCAGCCAGTGACAGACGTATCTTCATTTTGATCGCCAAAACGTGTTAACATAATTATAAAAAAATGCGGCTGATTACGCGTGTATTAAATGACTCGATTAGAACACTTACAATATTTTTTTCATTAGACACTACAATATCTTTGCTATTTACCACAGCTGAATAACGAGCCGCTGTTAAATGGCATTGTCATTTTGCACTGTCGGTAGACCATCCAATATTCATGATTCACTTCACTCGAGTTGTTTACGTAGCAAATTTATCGTTTTATTATTCTATCTTAATAGGACACTTGTAAGTTGTACACTTGAAAGTATTTTCTTTATCTATCTTTACGTTCGTGTAGAATAATTTTTAGGCAAACAGTTGTTAAGTTTAAAACTGTACAGTGTGTTTCAGAGTAATCACACACAAAGTGTGCCAGAAGATTCTTTATAGCAAAAGAAACAATTTTAATTTTTGATCTGTTCTTTTTAGCTGCTGAACTAATGCAATAAGTTAAAGTGAAACAAATATACTTTCTCTCGCTCTAACTTATTGCATTAGTTTAATAGTATAGCTAAAAAGAACAGTGCTATTGTAACCTTTCATATTACTGTGTTTACAGCCTTGCCGATTTCACATTTACAACAAATGTTAGAGAAATGCATACAAATAAATATATATAAAATAAATCTATTTAAAATAATGATAAATCTATATATTGCAGCACAATTGCATAGTAAAATCTTTAGTTAGATAATTTGTTGATGTTAAATAGGTTTCATTTAAAAACTATTGTTCTAAAATAATTTTGTTAAAGGAAAAAGTTGCTTCCTTTGGTACAAAGAATTTCGAAAGAATACACTCTGTGTAATTATACTGGGATACCGTATAGTTTAAGATTACAGACTTGTGTAAATTGCAACGTAATACTTTACAAAGATACGCACGCGACGTGCACTTTGAAAATATAATACGAGATGAGAATGTTTAACCGAATTTTAAATCATGTATGCCTGTACTCTCTTTCTCTGAGTATTACTCGTGTGCATGTGGTACTGAATTCACATACTGCATTTGAACGTATAGAATATTCGTACCGTATGCGAATATCATGTATGGAAATTGTTATATTTACCATTCGTTGAAAATTGTTTCCGTGAACATACGTTGTACACAGACCGGAGTAATAACTTATTTACTGATAGAACAGTAACTAGAATATTCGAGTTACTCGCATCGGCACGATGTGATAAAAAAAACCCAATATGATATACCTAGTAAATGTTAAGGATGTGTTATATTGGTCTTTTATAAGTCCAATTTCACCGAACGTTTATTTGCTCTCTCCGACCAAAATTTTATCAGGAATTCGATATTTTCAAATATGAAGATTACATGTACAAATACATATGACGGTGTTTAATTTAATAATCAAACGGACAAAGAAGTGTATACGCGAAAGATAAGGCTTTATCATTTTTATACTCAAGATATTTTCGCAGTTATGTAAAATGTTTCATATGTTTTCGAATGATAACATATTGATGACTACGCGCTGTAGGATTTCATCAGAAAATTTTAAATTTGGTGTATCTTACAGTCTCGAGCGCAGCAGTTCAATCTTCTTGGCAGCGCGTCGTTGCAGATCCGGCAGCTTCATGGCGAGCCCCATGTTCCCTTGGATCTTTACCTTCCCTTGGAAGAAGGCTTTCTGTGGGTTCAACTTCCCAGAAATGAAATCCACCATATCGGTGTCACTGATCGTGAACGTAACATCGGGTTTGGTTTTCCCGTTGTATTCAACCTTCCCTTTTCCCTCCTTAGCGTCTACGATCCAGAAACCTTCAGCGCCTCCCGGGCCGTTTATGACTTTGAAACCGTAAACACCGCGCATTTTCTCGATCAAATTATCCTCGTCCTCTTGCATCGCGATCTCCAATGTTTTGAATAGCATATGTGCTTGGAATACTTCCGGACTCACATGTATATTCACGTTATTCCTCACTATCCCGTGATTCGGGAAGCCCAAGCGATAGAGAGCGACAACCACGGCGCCGCCCAAGCCTATGTTGTGCTGCAACGCCAATTTCGCACCCGGCACCTGCCTTCTGCCGGCCTGTCCACGAAGCTGCCAGCAAAGTTCGGCGCATTGCGCCAGTCCGGTGGCACCCAGAGGGTGCCCTTTCGAGATAAGACCACCGCTGGGATTCACTACGTACTTACCGCCATATGTATTGTTCCCGGAATCCACCAGTTTGCCACCCTGTCCAACTGGACAGAGCCCCAAGGCCTCGTACGAGATCAGCTCATTTACAGAAAAGCAGTCATGCAATTCTACTACATCGACGTCGGTCGGTCTGTATCTGCTCATCGAGAAGACCTTCTCAGCTGCATTCTTTGTCATGTCGTATCTGTGAAGTAAATGCACGTGTATGCAAATGTAGTTATATAAATGATCAAGTACAATTAAATGAGAAATAATAGTTACATTCAGCAGACAAAGTGGATTCATAAACACTTAACATTTTGCTACTAGCGGTTTCACCACTGTGGTAAGATTTACTTCTGAATAACAGACATTAGAACACTTTTTTCCAGCACATTTTTAATATGCTAGGGAAAATTACCACCGCCTAGTACAAACATATTTTGAAAAGCGTATATTAGTAGTATTGTTTAGCAGAAAATTATACAATAGTTTAAAAGTTGCTGGTAGTATAATACTTACTAAATCTATTGAACTACTTACTTTATCTATTGAACGTAACTGTTACGTGCATATATTACATGTATAGGATAGTTTAAAAGTCGATTATTGATTTGAAAAATATATAATGTTTCTTACAGGTAATATAAATTTCTTTAAAACTCTTTTTCTAGATTGCATTAAAATCCATGGAAATTTAAAATGACAACTAATCTTCGGACTATTCTTATTATGCTATATCACAATTGAATCGATAGACTATTGATTTGTTACATCAAAGTATTCAAATTGTTTTTTTTTACCCGACGATATTCATGCTCGAGCGAGAGTTGAATGTTGAGGGTAAGTCAGTGGACATCTCCATCGCCAAGATCGCAACGGCTTGCGACTCCAAATGATGTTGTCGGACGAACTGTTCGTTAGCTAAAATGACAGCCGCCGCGCCATCAGAAGTCGGGCAGCACTGGAGTTTTGTCAGCGGCCCAAATACTTTTGGGGAGCTCAGAATCTGTTCCAAGCTGTACTTATCTTGAAACTGGGAATATGGATTGTTCGTGGAGTGTAAATGATTCTTGTAGGCGATCTTTGCAAAGTGCTCAGGTTTTGTGCCATATTTCTTCATATGCTCGATGCCAGCATTACCAAACATTTGAGCAGTCATAGGGCTCTCAGTAATACCTGTAATCAAGTGAGAAGTAAATAAGCAAGTGAGGAATAATTAAGTATATTAAGGAATAATTAAGTGTATTGTAGGAGATAGCCAAAAAATTATTGAATTAAAATATTCATAATTTCTTTAGGTAATGTATGTTTTAAATTCTTTTTACAGAAAAATCCCAAGAAATTCTAAATAGTATTACATTCTTGAATCACCCTATATTATAGGCTAATGTTAGAAACACAATTAAATGAACATTTAATATCATAAAAATATTCTAAATATGCTATTTAAAAAAACACCTTAATTAGGGCTATTTTTACAACCTTAACTATTGGTTATAACTTATAACTTTAACTATTGGTTAAATGTCAATCTTAGAGATGATAATTATTCAATGATTATATAACCAGTATTTTTTGAATATACACATTTAGTTTTGGTTTATCTGCTATCATGACATAAAGATATGTTCAAACCTGTTTGGATGTAATCTGATTTTTTTAAAGAGTACTTTGGAATTATTTCCAAGAAACATAAAATGGAATAGGAAGAAACCATTAGGAATTGAGATTGGAAAAAAAAATAAGGAATAGTTGATACAGAAAGGATACTAGAAAAAGAAAACAGTATGCCAGTCTTTAGAGTCTTTATAGTCTTTAGAGAAAGCTAAAGGCATAATAACATTAAATAATAGAATCATTAATTAAAAAGAAAAAAATAGATACATATATAAGTCTGTTTTCATGTGTATTTAATGTCTCTGGTCTGTGAATCAGTATTTAGCTATTTGATATATTGTTATATCGAGATAAAATGCTATTTAATATATTGATAATAAAATACACAACTTGATAAAAAGTCGAGAAATCATGAGATATGATGACAAAGCTATTTTTAACTGATATATACAATCATATTACAACCGTCATCTTCAGTTACTTCCACAGACTTCTATATAATACATATTGATATATTGATTTTTTCCTTAAACTGTCAATTTTCCTCCTATATACTGATCTGTTTCTTATAGCTGCATTAAATTACTTGTTTAAAGTTAAAATGAAATAGATACATATTTGACACTTGGTGGAAGAAAGACAGAAATGTTACAAGACAATTAAGAAATTACAGTTATAAAAAAACAGACATGCTATCTTGCACTTTGTCATTTTATCACTTACCAGCAATATCTGCCATCAGCTCGACATGCTTATCCATAGGATTTGTACGATCCATGTATTTTGGTGTCAAAGAGCCACGTTCCATCTTCTCAAAGCCTAATGCCAACACACAATCCGCGTTTCCACTTTCGATGATCTGCTTGGCGAGGTGGAGAGCGGTGGATCCGGTGGAACAGTTGTTATTGACATTATAAATGGGACATCCACTGAGTCCGATCCCATAGATCGCTCTTTGACCGCAGGTGGAGTCGCCATAGACGTACCCGACGCAGCAAGCTTGCACGCTGCTGTAAGGAACTCGCGCGTCCTGGAGAGCTTTGCTCACCGCCTCCTTAGCCATCTGCGGGTAGTCGAAGTTATCCCGTTTGCCGGGCTTCTCAAACTTGGTCATCCCGACACCGATCACGTAGACGTTTGCGTTCTTCATGGTTCTGAGATCGTTGATCAAAATGCAAAATCTTGTTGAATGCAATTAGGACGCACGAACAGGTCGTGAGACTTGTCTAGGTGTAGTAGGTGGAAAAATATGGCAAAGGAAATACGAAAAAGATGCTACGTTGTAGCGCAGCCGTAAACCAGACTGTCGGAACACTCGAGATTGACTGAAAAGTTAAGCGAATGGCCTGTGGACTTTATCCTGTGGTCACAACTTGATAAAGTCGAGAAATCGTGAGATACGATGACAAAGCTATTTCTAACTGATATATACAGTCATTACAACCATTATCTTCAGTTACTTCCACAGACTTCTATATAATATACTAGACTGCTAACTCATGTCTGTCAGACGTATATATCCAATTTTTGTACGAAACTTGTAGATAGGTTAGTGCGCATGCGCCAAATAATTTCATACGGAATGCGGCCTTCTGCCCTGTGATGGAAATATTTTATTAAAATATTTACTGAAAATCTCTCTCCATTGACCCCATTTCATTAAAATTTATTAAGATTCTTCAAGATTAAAAATTATTAAAATAAAAAAACTCATTAAGATTCATAAAGATTCGTAAAATTCATTAAGATTTATTAAAATTCATAAAATTAATTTTATTGTTATATAACAATAAAATATATTTTACGAATTTTTATGAATTTTAATTAATCTTGAAGAATCTTAATGAGCCTTAATGAATTTTAATGAATTTTATGAACGTAATGAATTTTAATGAAAAGGAGTCAATGAAAGAGATTTTCAATAAAATTTTCATCAGAGTGCTAATGACACACATGGACATAAGAATACACGGACAGGCGAATTGTCGTGGGAGTGAAGTCCAAGGGGTGAGGCAAATAATTGTATGTATTGTAATGGAGTTGATATACGAAGATGGTGATGGTCGCTGCTTTTATACAGTGAAAATACCCAGACAGCATAAATATCCAAAATCGAGTCATAAGACATCTTTAGGACATCTTTTAACATCTTTAAGATTACTAATACTTTATAAACTTTTAAAGATGTTTTAAAGGCGCCTATAGTAACACAGATGTCTGTACTAAGATGTCTATACTAAATGTCTAAACTAGATTGCTAACAGGTTATCTAAAAGTATATAAGGGCTTGTGTCCGATAGAGTTTCCGTTGTATGCGAGAAAATGGCCGCTATCGCCACATATTTTCACTACGTTTAATCATAAAATTCTTTTGTTGAAAATGAGTAGAGCAAATAACGTCCAATACCATCTATTTTTTTGTTACGACATTTTTTGATGCAATAAGATGCTGAAATTTTTGGTTTTACGATAGTACCTTAGTAGCAAAATTCATTGGCTTTATATTGGCTAAACACTAGTTATCTTGGGAATGGAAGCGTTCCGATTGACCACAGTATGATTGGACATAACCAATCGATGAAAAGAATTATCTAGTGAGTTACTAGGTCGAACCAATCATCACAATCTATGTCTAATCGTACCGCGATCAATCGAAACCCATTCCTTGGGAATACATTGGCCAATATTTCCCAATATAAAATTAATATTGATCTCAGAATAAATGTTAATCTATTACCAATATAACAATATCAATAAATAATATTGCATTTACATTGAAAGTGCATTGGTCAATATTTCCCAACATAATATGAATATTACATATAGAATGAAGGCCAATGAACGACTAATGTTATGTTTCAACAATTACACGATATTGCATTTTATTTGGTGATCACTTCTGACTTTCATTCCTCTCACCCCTGTGACTTCATTCCCCGTGAAGTACGCTCTGTCCAGATATTCCTACGTCCATGCGACAGACTGACAGCAGATTGCGCGCAGATTTTGTTTTCTAGATAGACTATTTAATTCTATCAAGGGGCATATGTAAATGGGGCAGTTAAATGGGGCAGTTTCACATACACTGGCGGAAGTCCGCGCGACAAGCATTACCGCGTCTTGTGTACAAGAGCCATGAGGCTGATATTTCACGTGTCGTACGACAAACTTTTTGAATACGTTCATTGGTTGACGAACAGAGAACCTAGAAATACTCTATTCGCCAACCAATAAAAGTATCCGAAATGCTTGTCGTATGACACGTGAAATAGCACCCTTAAGATGCGAATATTGTAGATGGCGTTGGAGACAACCGCCCGGATCATATATTGAAGGAAGGAAGGAAGATGCGAATACGGTTCTGTGATTGGTTTATGACATCTTAAGACAGTACTTAAGATGATCTTAAATATAAGATCGGACTATGAATACCGGCCTTTATCAGTTAATTTGCATCCGTTGATAAAATACCAATGTAATACCTGCTCGCCCGATAAGATAAGGACATGCTGAAAAATTTTGACTGCAAAATTCCTCTTTTTGATAATTTCTTATCGATAAATTATCTTGGATGATAGTCACAGAAATACAATTTTTTATAGAAATTTATAGAATAATATATATAATTATATAAATTGTAAAATTTACACCATATAAATCTTTTTTGAACTAGATTGAACGTAGATGAACTGTTTGTTGTTAAAATGAAATGAGTATATAACCGAGTATTGAAGGGAAAAAGAAAACGAAATTTCAGTGCTGCACCAGTGCTGGAAGTTCGCAATATTTTCTAGATGACATGCGCATGCGTGAATGACGTAGCAGCTCGACGTAAGCAGTTTCCAATGACGGCGTTAGATACGAGTAGAGGGTTCTTAAGGGACATGCACAAAATACTCGGCCGTCTGTCTGTGTTATTTGCCCGCGAGTGGTTAGGTTAGATAAGTAGTGAAATGATATAATAATAAATTAGTATAATTAATATAGTAATAATAATTAGTATAGCTATGTAAAATGTGATATTATAATATGTATATATAGTATATATTAATAAATAAAATGTGATAAAAAAGTGCAATTTTAATATAAAGTGATATTATAATAAAGAAAAGTGCAATTATAATATTAAGTTAATTAAAGAAAAAAGTGTCGTATTGAAAAAAGAAATGGAGAAATCAACACTAGCCTTCGTCATCAAGTGGCATCGAGGCAAAGAAGAGGAAATATGCGAGAAGAAAATTCCAATATGCATGATTAAATATGAATATTTTCAAAGATTGGTCGGCTGCAGAAATTACAAAATAAAAAATATATTTATTTTTACTCATAAACAGCATTCTGTTTCTTCCCACAAACTTTCTTTTCTCCCTACAATCCCTTTATATTTTTTTTTAGGTGAGGGATCTTACGATACCTTAAAATAGATACGGCGCTGAGGTTACCATAGAGTGCTCAATGCGCGTGCGCGAAAATATATCGCGAACTCCCAGCATTGTGCTGCACTAGTGCAGCTAAAAAGACAGGCCTAAGGAGCGCCGCACACAAATTGACATAACGTAAGACGTACCGTAAGAATTGACCAATCACTTTGAGTATCGTCGAACAGTAAGGTCGCCATTTTTGTGAATACTCGATTGTAATTGGTCCATTTTTACGGTACGTCTTACGTTACTGTTATGTCAATTCGTATGCGGCGCCCCTAACTACTAAGGGATAATAACTAATGAGGAGGAGCATGTTGATTAAACTATAACAAACCAGAATGAGCGGTATTCAGGCAGAAATTGAATCGGTCTGTACGACAAAGACCATCTCTAAGAAACGATTTTTCTGTTTCACCAATATACTATAGTTTAATTTTTTGCTCCGGCAGTGTGTAAAAGACAGACTAGAGATTCTATTTAGAAACCATTTCTCTCTCGGCTTGAGGTCATTATCGGGCAAAAATAAAGGCAATGCTCGTTTTAGTTAGCTATATAGTTGTATGGGAGCGCCAATTTGACGTGGGTGTTCCGCTAGCGACGATCGATCACGGGGTTTGTGCGCGCGCAGCATGTGGCCTGCGCGTGCTTAGGTCGGGTCGATGACGCACGAAGCGGAAGCGCAGCGCCGCGGATCGTCCAGTCGGCAGCTTCCGTCCCGCCGCGGAAGCTTGTCAGCCATTGTAGTTCTGTTCGCCGGTTCCTGTGGGTTGAGTCCGTGGATTTGCCGAGCTGTCGAGACGAGCGCGTTGTTCGCTGGCGAGTCACCTCGCTCGCGCGACAGCGTTCGTATTTTACGCGAAGGCCAAGTCCACTAACTCGACGAACGCTATCCCGCCGCCGCCACCGTTGTCGTCGCTGCCGCCGCCAGCTGACCACCGATCGTGACACACTTTAAGATCGTGCAACTTCAGCAACCCAACGAGTTCTCGTCGTCAACCGACGCAAAGCTACACTCTTTCCCAATCGATACCAGGATGTACAACGGATATTCCGCGCACGGCAGGTGTGTCCTTCAATGTCCTTTACGATCAGCGTCCAAAAGCAGCTTGTCATTTTGAGACGCTCGGAGAACGTTTTTTTTTACGATGGCCGTCGAGTTCCTCGGACCCCGTTGCTCCATTGTGGCCGCCATTTTGCGTACGAGCTTCTTTTCACTCGCTCCATTTTCTAACTGTGTCAGAAACTTATTGTAATTATCCGGCGGATTTAAGAGTCTAATGCCCGGCGGATTTCACGTGACAGAATGGCGAAAGATCCTTGTGACAAGGTGAAGGGATATGTATCATAGGTTTAACAAAGATGAACTGCTCTCTTTATTTTATATAAAAGAAAGAAAAAAATGTATACTAAACTTTATATAAAAGACAAGAAAGATTTAAGATTTAATTATAAATTGACAAAAAATCCCTTGCACATGTTATCCTTCCAGATGTGTAAGTGTGAGACTTTTATTAGTTATAGGCCTAGACCAAATCGAGACTTTGGCAATCGCAGTGGAGGGAATGGAGGAACATACTGGAACAGTCAGCAGCAGAGCCAGAAAGATTATGGCACGAAGAAGCAGAATCACAGGAAGGCTCCTGGTGATCTGCTCAAGAAACCTAACTGGGACATGACTGCACTGCCGTTGATACAAAAGAATCTGTACATTCCCCATAGCAATGTTTTGAACAGAACTCCTGATGAGATTAACAAATATCATGCAGGCAAGGAGATCACTGTTAAAGGCAACAACACACCTTCCCCAATTCAAGCTTTTGAGGAGAGCAACTTCCCAGACTATGTAATGGAAGAAATCAGGAAACAGGGATTCGCTGAACCCACAGCCATACAAGCTCAGGGTTGGCCAATTGCACTTAGTGGACGAGATCTCGTCGGAATAGCTCAAACTGGATCTGGAAAGACTTTGGCAGTAAGTACATTACATTATTTAATTGATTATTTTATTACTTTTATTTATTACTATTTCACTTATTCTACTTATTTTATTATTATATTTTACTTTTTAGTAAAATTATGAAAATTCAGTAGAATATTATATATTATATATTAGCTGTAAATATCATTCATTATTTGTTTATTGTGAAAGTAATATTCACACACAATTTTTATAATGATTAGTATCCAATCTTTAGTCAATACCTTTCTATTTTTTTACATCAGTAGCTTTCTGTCTTTTTACAACCTTTACTTTCTGTGTGAAATCTTAGTTCACGTTAGAAAACTAGTTAGGAAAACGTTACTTCTCGATTTTTTAAAGAGATTGTATCGTTTCCTTTACACTTACTTTAGTACATCCTTCCGGCGACTGTGCACATTAATCATCAGCCTCGCCTCAGCCGTGGCGATGGTCCGATCGTCCTAATCCTTGCTCCCACCCGCGAATTGGCTCAACAAATCCAGACAGTCGCACGCGACTTTGGTTCATCCTCGTGCATCCGCAACACTTGCATCTTCGGTGGCTCGCCGAAGGGGCCTCAGGCTCGAGATCTTGAGCGCGGAGTGGAGATCTGCATTGCGACGCCCGGCAGATTGATCGATTTCCTCGAGAAAGGCACTACAAACTTGCGTAGGTGCACCTACTTAGTGCTGGACGAAGCTGATCGCATGTTGGATATGGGCTTTGAACCGCAAATTCGCAAAATCATCGAACAGATCAGACCCGACCGGCAAGTGCTTATGTGGTCCGCCACTTGGCCCAAAGAGGTGCAGGCTCTCGCTGAGGACTTCCTCAATGATTATATCCAGATCAATATTGGCTCCTTAACATTAGCGGCTAATCACAACATCCGGCAAATCATCGAAATATGCCAAGAGCACGAGAAGGAATCTAAACTGTCACAATTATTGCGCGAGATCGCGACAGAACGTGGCAGCAAGATGATCATCTTCGTAGAGACGAAAAAGAAAGTGGACGACATCACGAAAGCGATCAAACGCGAGGGCTGGTCCGCCATATCAATTCATGGCGACAAATCTCAGCCAGAACGCGATTACGTGCTGTCGGAATTCCGCAACGGCAAAACCATGATCTTGGTAGCGACCGACGTGGCGGCGCGCGGTTTAGATGTCGAAGATGTCAAATATGTCATCAACTTTGACTACCCTAACAGCTCTGAAGACTACATCCACAGGATCGGCAGAACTGGTCGCTGCCAGAGTGCAGGCACCGCTTACGCTTATTTTACACCGAACAACGCAAGACAGGCGAAAGAGCTAATCGCGGTGCTGGAGGAAGCCGGCCAAGCTATAAATCCGCAACTGGCGGATATGGCGAACTCCATCAGGGGCCAATATGGTAAAGGACGGCAGCGATGGAGCCACGGACGTGGCGGCAATAAAGATAACAACTTGCACGGAAGTCCCAGAAACAACATCAGCCCGACTATAAACAACTGGCAGAGTCAGCATATTCCGCAAGTAAGCCAACATGGACATCAACAGGCTAATCCGGAGAAAACTGTAGCGCGTCATCAGCGCAACGGTGGTGTTGGTGGTGGTTACCAAGTCAATCGCCAGACCAACTACCAACCTCAGCACTCTTATCAACAGCAACATCAGCAACGACAGCCCACCTCCGGCTACCAAAATGGCTATCAGGCTACTACCAATGCGTGTCAGCCTACTCATCAGACTAATAGCAGTGCGCCTAGGTACCAAGGCAGGACCGGATACCAGGGTAATCGCTTCCGGCAGAACGGCTTCAATGGTGGCCAGAGCGGACCCAATGTGTACTCAATGCCGCCGCCTTTTATGATGCCATCCGGCGGCCACACTGACTCTGGGATCCAAAGCCTCGTGAACAATAAATTCTTCCAGACAAACCGACCGCCTCCGAATGCCGGCGCCTGCGCTTATCAGTCGATGGGCTATGGTCAGTTTCAGGCTATGCCGCCGTACGGATACCCGTATCCTCCCACGCCGGTGCAGCAGTGACGCCTCCCGCGCTGCAAAACCGCCGGAGTACGAGCTAAATGAGAAGTAGGTAAGTTGGTCCCGCCTATCGGGTACTATTGGGTCCCTATTGGTGTGACAGTGGGCCCAATTTGGTTATGGTAGACTGTCGATAATAATTAACCAGTCGTAGAATTTACGGGAATTCTATCTGAGAGTTCAAATATTCTAGAAGTGGAATTTGTGCTTCGATCATTTCAAAATTTGGTGACCCGATTGTGGGAATTTTTACACCTCGTCGAAAGAAATTAATATTATGTTTTCTATTGGGAAAAAAGAAAATTCTACTGGTGTTCTCCTCCTGAGTTTTCAAGGAGAAGTAGAATCGTAGGAATTTGCTTTCCGCTAGAAGTCACGATTGAATGCCTTGCCTCCTCAGAGGTTTCCGACAACACTAAAATTTTAAAGAATCGACAGTCTACTGCGTCATATTTAATGTGTAATAATCTTGTTCTTACTTTTTTTTCGTTTATTCTTTTTCTGGAATTGTGCCGGTTCATGTCTCTTTTTAAACGTTTTTTTTTCGATATCTTGATTAATTGAATGAATAATTAATCGAGCAGTCGTATTACAGATAGAAAAGTTTGATTTTTGTTTGTTGCCGTCACAGTTCAGAGATTGATGTTTCAGATGTATAAATTTAAATTTAGAGGTTGATCTTTAACAATTTGAGTCTAACTTACTATGAGTTATTATTTAACTAAATTATTACTTGATAACTGGTTTTACGTTGTATGCGATTGTATGGGAGCCTCTAAAGTAATTGCTTCCGGTTGAAATGTTGACTGTACAATTGTACGGTCGAGAAAACGTAAATGGGTTATATAATTAAAAAATAATAAACTATTAAATTACAAAAATAATATATATAAATAAAAGCATATAAACATTTTAAGGTGCTACGTACCTGAGCACTTTCCAGTCGAATATTTTTAATATAGCATATTCGTT